TATAATTCGGTCAAAGCCTGTTAAAGAACAATTCACATATAACAAAGGCTGGTATATCAGGGCACACAGTATGAATAGTACGATCAATATACAGTACATAGCCTATTAACGTCTTAAATATAACTCACATGTTACAACTGCTGATACATCAGGACACAGTTTGTATAATATGATCAATATGCAGTACATAAATACACTTATTAAAGTTATTTAGAGTTCTTAGAGGATTTAATAGTTCACAATCACACTCACGTTTTGGGGTCTAGGGTTTGACCATCGAGAACAGATATAATATCCTCTTGGTAGATGTTGGTTGAACGAAAGTTCAAGATGTTGTCTCTACGGTAGAAGGCGATAGACTGTCCCTCAGGCATTCATACAGCTGCTACCAGCTCCATCTCGCTTAGTAAGCTATCCTGAGTTGTCAACAGTTTCTTCAATCAACATGTGGCCGGCACGTGGCGATGACAGATAAATTAAATCAAGAGAATAACGAATAAACATAATCCTCAATAAACAACTAATATGTGCACAGTAAATAAACCATACACTGCTTTTCAACACCTCTATTGATTGCACTTTACACACAATAAATAATTATAGAGCAACACTGCATATATAATAATCAGCTAAACCCTATTTGAGAAGGTATCCACCACTGACAAGCTCAGACATCCTTCCACTTTCAGTGACAGCCAATCAATGACAAAACCCCATATCCCTGGGGACTATAAGCCTAACGGCACTAATATTAAACAACTCCCACATTAAGCTGCAGAAAAAGTTAAACATACATACATACATTCATAACAACTTTTATGTATCAAGTAGCAGCCCTTGAGGATAACGAACATAAAAATATTTCACAATGCACAACGCAACGTACCACTGTACATTATGCCATGCATAACATTATTATTATTATTATTATTATTATTATTATTATTATTATTATTGTTACATTTTGCACCCCCCCTCCCGGCCCTGATGTGGGTCAGTGACCTGTGCCCGGGTGGGATAATTCCTGTAAACAAAAACAAAAAAATCCTACACTGGACATGACATGAGAGAGGAAGCACCAAAATTAGATTAATCGACTGAAAACACTGGTAAAGATATCAGACACACCACTTCGAGAAGTTGGGAACAACTGAATCACCCCAGAAACATTAGTAACAGATCTAAGTTGCAGGCCTCCTGCAGCAAGGTGCAATGGACATCAAAACCATCGATTCCACATCCGATGAAGAGCCCAGTCCCAGTCGGAAAAATGCATTTGTTGATGGTCTGGTGCTTGTGCAGAAACTGATAAAGAAGCCTACAACTGTAGTGGCAGTGAAAGATCTCGGTGGATATTTCAATGACAGGCTGTTCTTTAACAAGAGACTATAATGAGCTGATTCTCTGAAGAGTACCACATGGGAGAAAAGGAGACCAGGGCCCAGTCCAATATCAAATCAAATATGACACAAACATCAAACATATCCCCATGAGCTGGTTCCTTTTCCATGACAAACCAAAGGCTGATCTCACCGAGTATCTTGCAGCAAAAAGCATCTATTACATCAAAGACTCTCCCTAGCTGAACATCACGTCTTCTGCAGGACAGACTATTAGCAACAGGGAACTGTTCTTTGAGGACAGCAACTACGAAAAAGCTGGCACACTATTGATCACACAGGCAGTACTGGTATCACATTAAAACCCACCTGATGTTAAGATGGTGTTCTTCTCTCCATTCACCAACGAACAGTCAACAAAAAATTATCGCGCACCTAGGGATCGTTGGAACCGGGAAAGAGGAAATACCTCAGCCACGCGTGGTATTCGTTGGGTTGGTACCCCTGACTGTATATCCCTAATATACTTCATCGCACAAAAGTCTGCTACAGTATACGGTACTCTACTGTATTACAATAGCCTTCTATTCGCGCTAAAAATAGACAGTCGAATGCTCTGTAGTTTTTGATTAGTAGACAAATGGGAAGAAAACCAACAAGTAGAAGAAAACAATAACTGAAATAATTTGAGAATGTGTGGTATTTTCCCCTACCACAGTGTGATAGTTTACTCTTTCAAAGCACTGTCCTTAAGAAACTGATATCTTTGTATAACCTCCTTTACTTGTTTTGATTTATGCATGAGGACGTCGGTTTTTGTGATTCGATGTGGAATTAAATCATTTATTGCATATGCGCAACTGAAGTGGTAGATAAGTGGAACCGCCGAGTTTTGTCTCCAACAACCTTTTATGTGGAAGACAGATGCAGGACTACCCAAGGTGCCATCATCGCTCTCCACAATGATGGTCTCAGCAAATGCATAGTGGCAAGACGGACTGGTGTGCACAGAAAAACGTGAGCAAGGTGGACTGTTACGTCAATGCCTCGTAGACTCGATAAATCATTGCTGCTGGGGGTGCATACACAGAATATTAAATACACTTGTGAATAAACATATGTATGTTTCACAATTTTTTCTAGCCTCTAAAATTTCCGCAAGTCATTTGGAAGAATTCGTAAAAGTTGTGCTGGTTAAATGAAATCCGTAAAAATGGGAATCATATTACACATAGTTTGCATTAATGTGCATTGGTATTTCATTCACATACAGTATGTGTGGGTCACAGGCGTAACCCTTAATTCTTGGGGATTGGAGATAGAAATAAGATAAAAGACGCTGAGGATTAAGGTTATCGTGTTTTGACGTGAATAAACTTCAAAACATAATAACCTTAATCCACAGCGTCTTCTATCTTATCTCTATTTCAAAATATGTCCAACCTGGATATGGCAGGTTGGATGTTGTCAGGGTTAATTTATGAGATAATGGTGGGAAGCTATGTTGTACAGTTGTCTTTATTTGTTGTTTTAACTCATTCTTGGTTCGTTCAAAAGATTTTCTTGTGTTCGTCCCACCGATTTTATTGTTAATATTAATAGTTTGTTGGTTTTAACATTGAAATTAATTCAACATATGCTTAGTGTCAGCTTTTATTAGTGTCCATTGCTATTGATTGTTACTGAAGTTGTTAGCTGGCCTTACCAGCATGTATGTCCACAACAGCCACGTCATACCCACAATGCACAACGATGTAACTCGACTCACTCGAGTGACGAGAGGTCTGTGGTGTGTGACTGTGACATCTGGACCAGACACTGTTATCGCCCGGACGATACTTGTGTGTGCTGGCTGACCTTTATTCGAGGATTTCCAGTCCCTTAGTTAAGTAGAACGTGCATTCTAAGTTTACAAAGCACTTTCTTGAACTGAAGTAATATAGTAATTTAAGCAACATCACTAGTTTGTGTTTGGAACATAATGATTGCCGGTTGAGTTAGTCTTGGCTTTTATTGGCGGTTTTAATTTCCATGCCTTTTGTCTATTTGCACTTTTGGGCTGTCACATTTATAGGTATTAATTTATTAGGTTATGGATTATTTTTTTAGATGTTACTTGAGCTGCCATAACTTGTGACTTGTTTAACGTTAGTGATATGTTTTGCTGTACCAATAACTCATGCTTTTATTATGCTTACTCATAGTTGTTTGTTTTGCCGCTTCACAAATGCCCTGAGTTTATTATAGAGTTTGTTTATAAAGTTAAATTGTACTATGGTTTTTACTGCCCTTCACATTACCAGACACCTGTCAACCACTTTAATTGTTTAGCTATTTTAAAGTTTAATTATTGTTAATGTTTTCAAATAAAATTAATGAAATGGTTTAATGATGAAAGTTACATGAAAATTTGTAGACTGATAATTTGTAATCAAGGGTAAGTGTTTGGGTACTACACAGACACCACTGGGTGCTTCTCTCGAATAAGACAATCTGGCTGGTGTTTTCCTGAAAGCAGATGAATATGTCATCAAGGCTCTGCAGTAGCTTACAGAGGCTACTGAAGATATGCGATCCAAACTACCTACATTCGTGTGTGCTGCATACTCACCATAAGGCATCCAGATTGTGAATATCCCTGAACTGCGATGGCACCGCTTCTGCAAGCACATGAACAAATCACAAACTTCCTCCCACCTTTGGCGCTCTTAAAGACCACATCCTGAGAACACATATCCAGGCTAGAGCATGGGGTCAGGCAAGTATCGCTCAGAATGGCTTCTACAAGGATATCGATAGTCAAGTGAAGCCGATGACAACGGAGGTCCTCCAAACCCTCAAGGCTATCATCAAGATGGTCAGATGTCAGTGCAAAAGGGATTGTTCCTCTTCCAGATGCTCTTGCAAATCAAAGGACTTAACATTTCAGATATCTGTCTGTGCAGTACAAAGTGCCAGAATGATGAATTTTTTCGGGACACTACATTGAATGACAAAAGTGATGATTATGATGATGATAATTGATGTTTCCCAGTAAACGATTTTGCTTCATCGTATTGCGTTTTATTATACTATAATATTGCCCCTGATAGTCTTTCCTTTAAGGCCATTTAGATTTAATTATTCATAGATGTTGCCTAAGTATAAAACATTGTGCTTCGTACCATTGGATTTACTGCCCCGAAAATGTAAGTTTATCCATTATAATCAAGACCCGAAGTGGCATAGAACCAGAAATATTGAGAAAAATGCTTCGTGGGTGGTCATTTTTTTAAATCCAAGATGGCCGCCGTACATACTTTCAGGAAAACAGAAACATTGGTTTTTAATTAATTATACTCTTTAGTTTCCCAAAATGTAAAATTTCCGTCCAAAGGAAAAACAAAATAACGACAACCAAGCTCTGAACATCGGAACTGTACTATCAAGGAAAAATGAGACAGGCAGAATTTGACTCGGGGAGAGTTTATTCTTGGTGCATTCCAATATTTCTGAAACTGATGTTTTATATAAACTACTCTCTCTCTCTCTCACCTGGTCGCAGTGGCTCTGATGTGTCTGGTCACTCATCCCCAACACGACTGCTTCCTCCTTACGTCCCTCTAACTTTGGCTCCCATTTAAGTTCTTCCTCTAACTTTGGCTCCCATTTAAGTTCTTCTGGCTGACCTGTAAGTTCTTCTGGGTCTCCTGTTGGTTCACTCTGCGGTGAGTGGTGTGGCTCTCGGTGAGGATCCATGACCCTGAAGAAGAAAGGGCAACTTATGAATCCTCTAAGGATTAAGCACCCCAACATATTTTCACCTGGCGATTAAATTCAAGCTAACCTAATCTAATCTAACCTAACCTAACCTAGCCTAACCTAACCAAATTTAACTTAACCTAATCTAACTTAATCTAATCTAACCTAATCTAGTCTAACCTAACCTAACCTAATCAAAAGTATCCTAACTGAACATAACCTAATCTAATCTAGGAAGTTGGTGATACAACAGTAATGCATGAATGTCTCAATTGAGTCCTGGGTTCGAGTCCTGACTATCAAGCAACGCAGGTTACCGACACCATATAAGACTGAGACCACAACCACCAAGTGACAGGTGAGAAGTTAAGTGCGCATTTGGTACAGCCGAGGGTCGCGACCTATACACCTACAAGTGAGATCCCACAACTTATCTCACTTGGGGGATCGGTGGTCGAAGCGGTACCGTTCTTGCCTCGCAAGCGAGAGGTCACGGGTTCGATTCCCGGGCCGGTGGAAGTTGTTTGGACTTACTTCCTCGCCCCCATTAGTCCCTGTTCACCTAGCAGTAAAGTAGGTGCCTGTTGTAAGTCGAAAGTTGCGAATTCGTATTCAAGGAAAGTTGTTGGAGCTTCCAATAACTTGATGACATAAACCACTGACTCTTCAGGCTTTTATGCCCCTGACTCTTCAGGCTTCTACGCCCTTAACTCATGAGACATAAAGGCAAGCATGAACTTAGCATGCTTCCCTGTTGAGCGCTGTAAACGCTTCTGCGCTTCACCTTACACAAGGATGTAGGGGAGTGCCCAATAAATAAATAAAAAAAAAAAAAATCCCACTGGTCAGTTGTGGTCTAACCACATATGGGGACAGAAGTGCCCATAGGGTGCTCTTGTTGGTCCGATCTCCCTCAAATGACCCCTCAGTCCTGACTCCCCTCAGTCGGCGCCTGTTGCCAGCATAGGGGGTCGCCAGCGGCATAAACGCAGAAGAGGCGCCTCCTATCTCATGTATACACACATCCCTGATACTGATACTATTGCCTTTTCGTCAGGTCACACTGCACCCCATACCCTCTAAGATTTAGACCTCAGTGATTGTAACAGTAACAGTAATGTTGCTATGGAAAACATTGGCTGTTGTGGTTATCCAATGCCAAGGGCGGTGGGCCGCCCCCAGCCACCCCTTCCTTCTGCGCAGACCTACGCCACAAAGATGTGACTGAGGACATCGATAGTGTGTGTCTGCAGGAGTCTCTCACACCTAATGATAAGCCCCCACCCAGTCTGCCCAATTATGTGTATTATGTTCCTAGTTCAACTCACAAATGTTTGATGTATGTTAAGAAGTCACTACCGCATGTATCTCTTAAAAAAAAAAAAATCAGTACCATGGAATCACTATCCACCTGGGCAACTCCACACTCAACGTGCTAAATGCCTATGCTCCCTCAGATCAGCTTCAATACACAGATCTCCCAGACTTTGTTCACACTGAACCCACTGTCCTACTTGGTGACCTGAATACTAGCAACAAGAAATTAGGTGACTCCACCACTAACACCAATGGTAGGAGACTTGTCTCACTTCTCAGCGCATATGAAGATGCTCAAATTAAAGGTAATAATGAACCAACACACTTCTATGGTGGGGCTCTAGACAAGTGTATTGGCTTTAATTTATCATCCACAACTCATAACTCTGATGCTGACTGATCTTATGTCTGACCACAACCCAATCCAAGCTAGTATACTTGTAGCTAATGACAAGCCCACTGGCGGTAAACTCAACAGACGTAGACTTACAGTCAATCAAGAACATGAAAGCCACTTCATAACTTCATCCAAGACTGGTACAAGAATTACAAGGCTGACAACTACCAAAGTCTCCATGATGATCTGATAGATAAGGCTTATACATACTTCACCAACAATGTCTCCACCAAAAAAAAAAGAAGGAGAAATCGTGGTCAGCAACATGGGAAGAGGCCACAGCAGTGCTATGATGACCCTAAACTTAAAAAAAAAACCTCAGGGCTAGAGTCAGGAGGGTGGGCTAGGGTTACAGACAAATTAGAACATCGCAAATGTTACAATTGTATCAAGTCTCTCTTGCTGCTGCCAGGGAACGTGTAAACGAAGTCAGACAAAATGCATGGGAGACATATGTCAACAGCCTGAATCAACAAACATCCCTCAGCAAACCCTGGAAGGATATAAACACAATCAGAGGTAAAAACATTAGACACGTCTCCCATCCAAACCCGCTGCAAAAATCTAATGAATTAATTACAAAGTGAGCTCATGTCTCTCGTTATAATATGTTACCAACTAGGAATCGAGAACTCCTTGGTGCGAAGTCTGTAGAGAGAAGTAATCACATTAAATTTATGCTGGGCAAACAGCACGATGAGTGTAATGTTTCATATACGGAGTGAGAGCTTGCAGTCGCCCTCGCCAGGGGTAGGTCTGCTGCCCCTGGAGAGGACGGAGTCACCTATAATATCGTTAGACTACTAAGGCGTGTGCCGGGCAATCCATTATTGGCATTGTACGATATGAGTCATGCCGAGGGTCAAGTACCCACATCTTGGACCAACAGTATTGTTGTGCCAATACCGAAACGAGGACAGCCTATTAAAGCTTTTCGTCCCTTATCACTAACCAGCTGCCTGTGTATAAGACCTTTGACAGTATAGTTCTTGGCAGACTCTTTTATAGAATCAGAGAACACATGTCTCCTAACATAATTGGCTTCACCCATGGTAATGTGTCCATATTTTATATACTGTAAATATATATATATATATATATATATATATATATATATATATATATATATATATATATATATATATATATATATATATATATATATATATATATATATATATATATATATATGTAACCTGTCGGAATTTACTGGACTTTAATTTCTCACTTGACTTGGGGTTTATTAAAGATTGTTAGATGGTAATTGCAGTGGAAGCGCCCCTTTGAGAAAGATCCCGAACCAGCACAAGAACACTTAAATCTACTAAACAAAATGACTTGTCCGTGACCCGCGGAAGGATAGCGTCTGTGACTGGGATGAATGAGACACACTGTAAAATTTAGACACTTATATTCCCTCCAACACTACAAACACAATCAAATAATGGTACACCAATATGCCCACCTCTTAACTTGAACTTAAAACACTACTCTGGGGAATAAAAGTTATACATGATATTGAAATTATTAGAAACTCAGGCAACAATAAATTTAAAGTATTAAGAAATGTTGCCTGCACACATGAAACAGGCCTTAAGGGCTTTCAACAAAATTATATCACCCCAACAGATGCACAATTCCTAACCTAACTTAAACACTACTCTGGGGAACAAAGGTTATACCTGAGATCGGAATTATAAAGAAAAATTTGATGCATTAAAGGAATTAAATCGCAGTATCACTCTGGTTCCAGACAGTGATACCATCACTACAATCAAGAATAGACACAGGCAATATTACCATCACCACCATCATGGTACACACAGGCAGTGTTACTATCACCACCATCATGGTACACACAGGCAGTGTTACTATCACCACCATCATCGTACACACATTCAGTGTTACCATCACCACCAACATGGTACACACAGGCAGTGTTGCCATCAAAACCATTATGGTACACACAGGCAGTGTTACCATCACCACCATCATGGTACAGAGAGGCAGTGTTACTATCACCACCATCATCGTACACACATTCAGTGTTACCATCACCACCAACATGGTACACACATTCAGTGTTACCATCACCACCATCATGGTACACACAGGCAATGTTACCCTCACCACCATCATGGTACACACAGGCAGTGTTGCCTTCACTACAATCATGGTACACACAGGCAGTGTTACCATCAACACCATCATGGTACACATAGGCAGTTTTACCATCAACACCATCATGGTACACACAGGCAGTGTTGCCATCACTACAATCATGGTACACACAGGCAGTGTTACCATCAACACCATCATAATGCACACAGGCAGTTTTACCATCAACACCATCATGGTACACACAGGCAGTGTTACCATCACTACAATCATGGTACACACAGGCAGTTTTACCATCAACACCATCATGGTACTCACAGGTAATTTTACCATCACCACCATCATAGTACACACAGGCAGTGTTACTATCACCACCATCCTCGTATACACAAGCATTGTTACCATCACCAACATCATGGTTTCACACCACAGCACAATCATGGTACACACAGGCAGTTTTACCATCACTACAATCATGGTAGACACAGGCAGTTATAACATCACCACCATCATGGTTTCACACTGGTAGTATTACCTTCACCACCATCATGGTATACACAGACCGTGTTACCATCACCACCATCATGGTACATAAAAGCATTGTTACCATCACCACCATCATAGTACACACAAACAGTGTTACCATCACCACCATCATAGTACACATAGACAGTTTTACCATCATCACCATCATGTTACATACAGGCAGTGTTACCATTACTACAATCATGGTAGACACAGGAAGTGGTACCTTCACCACCATCATGGTTTCACACACGTAAAATTACCTTCACCACCATCATGGTACACAAAGGCAGTGTTACCATCACCACAATCATGGTACAAACTGGCAGTATTACCATCACTATAATCATGGTAGAAACAGGCAGTGCTACCATCACCACCATCATGGTACACACAAGCATTGTTACCATTACCACCTTCATGGTACACTCAAGCATTGTTACCATCACCACCATCACCACCATCATAGTACACACAGACAGTGCTACCATCACCACCATCATGGTACACACAGGCAGTATTACCATCACTGCCCTTATAGTACACACAGGTAGTGCTACCATCACCATCATCATGGTACACACAGGAAGTGTTACCATCACTGCCCTTTTAGTCCACACAGGTAGTGCTACCATCACCACCATCATGGTACATATAGTATTATCATCAATTTACACATGCAGTGTTGCCAGCACCACCATTATGGTACACATACGTAGTGTTGCTATCCCTACCAACATTATATACAGGCAGTGCTCCCATGACCGCCATCATCGTACACACACACACGGTTACCATCACCATCACGGTACACACAGGCAGTGATACCACCACTACCACCACCACCACCACCATCGGGATATACACAAGCAGTGTTACCATCACTACCATCATGGTACACACAAACAGTGTTACCATCACCACCATCATGGTACACACTGGAAGTGCTACCATCACCACCATCATGGTACACACAAGCATTGTTACCATTACCACCCTCATGGTACACACAAGCATTGTTACCATTACCACCCTCATGGTACACTCAAGCATTGTTACCATCACCACCATCACCACCATCATAGTACACACAGACAGTGTTACTATCACCACCATCATGGTGCACACAAGCATTGTTACCATCACCACCATCATGGTACACACAAGCATTGTTACCTTCACCACCATCATGGTATACACAGAACGTGTTACCATCACCACCATCATGGTACATAAAAGCATTGTTACCATCACCACCATCATAGTACACACAAACAGTGTTACCATCACCACCATCATAGTACACACAGACAGTGTTACCATCCCCATCATCATAGTACACATAGACTGTTGTACCATCACCACCATCATGGTGTATACAGGCAGTGTTACCATTACTACAATCATGGTAGACACAGGAAGTGTTACTTTCACCACCATCATGGTTTCACACAGGGAGAATTACCTTCACCACCATCATGGTACACACTGGCAGTATTACCATCACTACAATCATGGTAGAAACAGGCAGTGTTACCATCACCACCATCATGGTACACACAAGCAGTGTTACCTTCACCACCCTCATGGTACACTCAAGCATTGTTACCATCACCACCATCACCACCATCATAGTACACACAGACAGTGTTACCATCACCACCATCATGGTACAGACAGGCAGTGTTACCATTACCAACATCATGGTACACAAAGGCAGTATTACGATCACCACTCTTATAGCATGCACAGGCAGTGTTACCATCACCACCATCATGGTACACACAGGAAGTGTTACCATCACCACCATAATGGTACACAAAGGCAGTGTTACCATCACCACCATCATAGTACACACAGTGTTACCATCACCACCATCATAGTACACACAGACAGTGTTACCATCACCACCATCATAGTACACACAGACAGTGTTACCATTCCCATCATCATAGTACACACAGACAGTTGTACCATCACCACCATCATGGTGCACACAGGAAGTGTTACCATCACCACCATAATGGTACACAAAGGCAGTGTTACCATCCAAATCATCATGGTACACAGAGACAGTGTTACCACCACCACCATGATGTTACACCCAGGCAGTGCTACAATTAGCAAAAAGTTTTAAACACAGGCAGTGTTACCACCGCCACCAACATGCTAAGCAAAGGCAGTGTACCCATTATGGTCCACACAGTGTTACCTCTACGGCACATAGAGTGTATCTATCATGGTGCAGACTGTTATCATCATGGTACACACACAAATTGTTACTATCGCCACTATCATGGTACATACAGGAAGTGTTACCATCCTCACCATCATGGCTCATACTGGTATGTTGCCAACTCCAACATCATGGTACACACGTGCAGTGTTACAATCGCCACCATCATGATACACACATGCAGTGTTACCTTCACCACAACCAGTGCAAACACGGAGAGTGTTACCATCATGTATCACACAGTGTTATCATCATGGTGCAGACTGTTACCATCATGGTACACATAGTATTACCATTACCACCATCATGGCACACACAGGTAGTGTTAACATCATCACCATCACGATACGCACGGACAGTGTTACCATCATGGCTCACACAGCGTTACCATCATGGTGCAGACTGTTACCATCATGACACACATAGTATTACCATTACCACCATCATGGCACACACAGGTAGTGTTAACATCATCACCATCACGATACGCACGGACAGTGTTACCATCATGGTAAACAAAGTCATTTTTAACCGTCATCACCATCATGTTTCTTACAGGCATGTTACCATCACTAACATCATAGCACAGACAGGCGGTGTTAGCATCGCCACCATCATCGTACACACAAGTAGTGTTACCATCATGGTACACACATGTAGTGTTACCATCACCATCATCATGATACACAGAGACAGTGTTACCATGCAGTGTTACTATCACCACCATCATGGTACACACAGGCATTGTTAACATCATGGTACACTCTTGCAGTGTTGCTATCACCATCATCATGATACACACAGACAGTGTTACCATGCAGTGTTACCTTCAATACCATCAAGGTACACACATGCGCGGTTACCATCAACATCATCATGATGCACATAGACAGTGGTACCATCACCACCCTCATGATACACACAGGCAGTGTTGTCATTTTGGTACACACATGCAGGGTTACCATCACCGTCATCATGATATACACAGACAGTGTTACCATCATGGTACACACAGACAGTGTTACCATCATGGTACACACAGACAGTGTTACCATCATGGTACACACTTACAGTGTTACCTTCACCATCATCATGATACACACAGGCACTGTTACCATCATGGTACACACAAGCAGTGTTTCCATGACCAATATCACGGTTCACACAATGTTACCCTTATCTATAAACAGTGTTACCATCATATAAAGCAGTGTTACCATCACAACCATCATGGTACATCGAGTTACCATTATTGTACACAAGCTGTGGTGCCATCAGGAAAATCATAGTACACACAGGCAGTGTTACCATCACTACCATTATGTTACACACAGACAGTGTTATCAACACCACAATCATAGTACACACAGGCAGTGTTACCATCATCAAGATCATGGTAGACACAGGCATTAATACCATCACCAACATCATTGTACACAAATATTGTGTCACCATCACTACCATCGTTGTACACACAGGCTGTGTTACCATTACCACTATCATGCTACACACTAGCAGTGTCACCAGTATCATTGTACACACATACTGTGTTATCACCACCATCATCATGGTGCACACAGGCAGTGTTACCACCACCACAGTCATGGTACACACAGGCATTGTTAGCACCACCACCATCATGGCACACACAGGCAGTGTTACCATCACCACAGTCATGGTACACACAGGCAGTTTTACCGTCACCACCATCAATGTACACATAGTCAGTGTTACCACCATCACCATTATGATACACACAGGTAGTGTCTGAATGACCGACATCATGGTATACCCCTCCAGTGTTACCACCACCCTCATGGTAAACACAGGCAGTGTTACCACCATCACCACCATTATGTTGCACATAGTGTTACCATCACCACCATCATGTTACACGCAGACAGTGTTACAACCACCACCACCATCATGTTACACACAGACAGATAATTCTTCTATTTTTAATTCCATAACATTACCGTACACATATACGTACACACATGAAACTAAACAGTCATTGTGTATACCACAACAACATAACATAAACACACCCAAAGAAAGACACACAAACCCACGTCATCACACTTATAAAGGCAGTAGTCTGCTCCGTGTGGGCGACCCCCTTACGGACACAACAATGGAGACCTTCCTTACCACTGCTGACCTGGTAACACACACACACACACACACACACACATCACTGTACATAAATTAAATAACTATAAATACATATATTCTGTAAGACAACTTCAACTGCAGGTCAAAATGGCATAATTATTTGACGGACCCAGTACTAAAAATATACCAGCAAGTGCAAGTTGGCAACTCTCTCTTGAACAGTTCAGTGTGTTAATAATACAGCTTGTACAGTCACCCAAAAACGTCCTGTCGCGAACCATGAACCCCGAGATTCAGACTCTTGAATCCGAAGCATTTATGGACAGAATAATGTATCAGTGTCTACTGCTTCGGGTTCACGAGTCTGAATCTCGGGGTTCGTGGTTCGCGACAGGACTTTTTTGGGTGACTGTACATGGGTAATAACTTGTAACAGAGGTCAAAGCCTTAAGGTATTTGAGACACGTTCACACAAATGGTGAAACTGTGCAGTAACTTACCTGATCAGTTGTTCAAGTCTCCTTACGTTTTGAGTTTCTAGAAAAGACTAGACGAGCAGTGGATAACTCTAGATGATGTCTTTGACTACAGAGCCTTCAGTACAGGTTGTAAAGCCACAAGCCTTCCCACTACACAAGTTCCTCTATAGTAATACCAAGTAAATTAAGATGTAACAGAGGAAGACACGAGTATCCTCCCTCCTTGCCGAGACATACTCAGGTATTACCCAGAGATGGGATTTTATCACAATCTGCCCCCACCACCTCCCTCTCTCCTCTCCCCTCGTGGAAAGCCGTTGTCATGGTAACGGGGCGAGGCAGGTAGCAGCGCTCTCTTTCTCTGGTTCTCTTTGCATTACCACAAAAACTACCACCTGTGTGCGAGGACAAAATCACACAAGCTCCTGACATCGTAAAGACTACGTAAGAATACACCTGAGTGATTGAGATAAAATTTAATAGTATACTCCATAAAACAACACCATCAGACTGCCTCAATGAAATACGTTGGCGCAGAAAATGTTAGGAAGCAAATCAAATGTACAGAATCTTTCCAGGGAATTGGTAAAATTAATTTTATTCTTTAGTCTAAGAAATCCACTTCTATTACGATGAATACTCATCGTACGAACCGTTGTGAATATACGATATATACGCCACAACACTACAGCATCACCACAACACTACAGCAGCACCACAACACTTAAGCAGCCCCACAACACTACAGCAGCACCACAACACTACAGCAGCACCACAACACTACAGCAGCACCACAACACTACAGCAGCGCCACGACTCTATAGCAGTGCCACAACACTATAGCAGCGCCACAACACTACAGCAGCACCACAACACTATAGCAGAGCCACAACACTAACAGCAGCAGCACCACAACACTACAGCAGCACCACACACCATAGTACCCACAACGCTACAGCAGCACCCCACAACACTACAGCAGCACCACAACACTAAGAAAGGCCACAACACTACAGCAGCACCACAACACTACAGCAGCACCACAACACTACAGCAGCACCACAACGCTACAGCAGCACCACAACAACACTACAGCAGCACCACAACACTACAGCAGCACTATACAACACTACAGCAGCACTACACAAAGCTGGTTACAGCGAAAACAACACTATAGCAGAGCCACAACACTACAGCAGCCACAACACTACAGCAGCACCACACAACACTATAGCAGAGCCATAACCACCTTCACAGCAGCAGCGTGCCACGACTCCACAGGCAGTGCCACAACACTATAGCAGCACCACAACACTATAGCAGCACCACAAATACCTGCAGCAGCACCACAACACTACAGCAGCACCACAACACTATAGCAGCGCGCCACAACACTACAGCAGCACCACAACACTATAGCAGCGCCACAAACACTATGCTGCAGCCACAAACACTCTATAGCAGTGCCATACCTGCAGCAGTGCCACAACACTACAGCAGCGCCACAACAATACACCCGCAGTACCTCACAACACTACAGCAGCACCACAACACTTTAGCAGCGCCACAACACTACAGCAGCACCACAAACACTAAAGCAGCACCACAACACTACAGCAGTACCACAACACTATAAAGAAAGCACAACACTACAGCAGCACCACAATACTACAAAGCAGAACCCCACAACACTACATCAGCACCACAACACTACAGCAGTAACACAACACTACAGCAGCACCACAATACTACAGCAGAACCACAACACTACATCAGCACCACAACACTACAGCAGCACCACAACACTACAGCAGCACCACAATACTACAGCAGAACCACAACACTACATCAGCACCACAACACACAGCAGCACCACAACAAAACAGCAGCACCACAGCAAAAACAGCATCGCCACAACACTACAGCCCCACAACACCACAGCATCGCCACAACACTACAGCAGCACCACACTACAACAGCACCACAACACTACATAGCAGCGCCACAAACACTATAGCAGCGCCACAACACTACAGCAGCACCACAATACTACAGCAGAACCACAACACTACATCAGCACCACAACACTACAGCAGTACCACAACACTACAGCAGCACCACAATACCACAGCAGAACCACAACACTACATCAGCACCACAACACAAGGTAACACAAACACTACAGCAGTAATTCACAATAATACAGCAGAAATCCACAACACTACATCAGCACCACAACACTACAGCAGCACCACAACACTACAGCAGCACTACGAACACTATAAGAAAGAAGCACAACACTACAGCAGCACCACAATACTTACAGCAGAACCACAACACTACATCAGCACCACAACACTACAGCAGCACCACAACACTACAGCAGCACCACACATTTCACAGCAGAACCACAACACTACATCAGCACCACAACACTACAGCAGCACCACAACACTACAGCAGCAATTTCACAATACTACAGCAGAAACCAACACTACATCAGCACCACATAACACTACAGCAGCACCACAACAAAACAGCAGCACCACAGCAAAACAGCATCGCCACAACACTACAGCAGCCCTATCAACACCACAGCACGCTACAACACTGCAGCAGCACAACACCTATAGCAGCGCCACAACACTACAGCAGCACCACAATACTACAGCAGAACCACAACACTACATCAGCACCACAACACTACAGCAGCACCACAACACTACAGCAGCACCACAATACTACAGCAGAAACCACAACACTACATCAGCACCACAACACTACAGCAGCACCACAACACTACAGCAGCACCCACAATACTACAGCAGAACCACACAACACCACATCAGCACCACAACACTACAGCAGCACTACAACAAAACAGCAGCACCCACAGCAAACAGCAGCATCGCCACAACACTACAGCAGCCCCACAACACCACAGCATCGCCACGTAAACACCTGCAGCAGCACCACAAACACTACAGCAGCACCACAACACTATAGCAGCGCCACAACACTATAGCAGCGCCCACAACACTACAGCAGCACCACAATACTACAGCAGGTAACCACAATACATCAGCACCACAACACTACAGCAGCACTTCACAACACTACAGCAGCACCACACACATACAGCAGAACCACAACACTACACCAGCACCACAAATACGCAGCAGACCACAACATCACAGCAGTAATTCACAATACTACAGCAGGTAACCACAACACTACATCAGCACTACAACACTACAGCAGCACTCCACAACACTACAGCAGGCACCACAACACTCACAGCAGCACCACACTACAGCAGAACCACAACACTACATCAGCACCACAACACTTTACAGCAGCCCCACAACACCACAGCAACGTCACAACACTACAGCAGCACCACAACACTATAGCAGCGCCACAACAATACAGCAGCACCATTAACACTACAGCAGCGCCACAACACCATAGCAGCACAACACTACAGCAGCGCCACAACAAAACAGCAGCACCACAGCAAAACAGCATCGCCACAACACTACAGCAGCGCCACAACACCACAGCAACGTAACGTCACAACACTACAGCAGCGCCACAACAATACACAGCAGCACCACAAAAAACAGCATCGCCACAACACTACAGCAGCGCCACAACACTACAGCAGCGCCACAACAAAAACAGCAGCACCACAACACTACAGCAGCACCACACAACTACAGCAGCACTCCACAACAAAACAGCAGCACCACAAAAACAGCATCAAGCACAACACTACAGCAGCGCTACAACAAAACAGCAGCACCACAAATACTACAGCAGCACCACAAAAAACAGCATCGCCACAACACTACAGCAGCGCCACAAATACCACAGCAACGTCACAACACTACAGCAGCGCCACAACAGTACACAGCAGCACCCATAACACTATAGCAGCGCTACAACAATACAGCAGCACCACAACACTATAGCAGAGCCACAACACTACAGCAGCGCCACAACAAAACAGCAGCGCCACAACACTACAGCAGCGCCACAAACAAAACAGCAGCACTTACAAAAACAGCAGCGCCACAACACCATACAGCAGCGCCACAACAAAAACAGCAGCACTAATAAAAACAGCAGCGCCACAACAATACAGCAGTTACAACAAAACAGCAGCGCCACAACAATACAGCAGTACACAACACTGCATAGCACCACAATACTAAGGAAAGAGAACTACAACAGTACATCAGCACCACAACACTAAGGAAAGTAGCACCACAACACTATAGCAGCACCACAACACCATAGCAGCACCACAACACTATAGCAGCGCTATAACACTACAGCAGCACTACAACACTATAGCAGCGTGCCACAACACTCAACAGCACCACAATACTACACAGCAGAAACCACAACAGTACATCAGCACCACAACACTACAGCAGTTCACAAATACCACAGCAGCACCACAGCAAAACAGCAGCACCACAACAAAACAGCATCGCCACAACACTACAGCAGCCCCACAACACCACAGCAACGCTTGGGGCTAAACACTACAGCAGCGCCACAACAATACAGCAGCACCACAACACTACAGCAGCACCAATAACACTATAGCAGCACCACAACACTATAGCAGCGCCACAACACTACAGCAGCACCACAACACTACAGCAGCACCACAACACTATAGCAGCACACAACACTACATCAGCACCACAACACTAGCGGCACCACAACACTACAGCAGCACCACAACACCACAGTATCAAGTGCCAACATCACAGTAGCACCACAAACACCACAGCAGCAACATAACACTGGCATCAGCACCACAACACGTCAGCAGCGTCACACATCACAGCAGCGCTCACAACACCACAGCATCGCCACAACACCATGCATCGCTACAAAATCACAGCAGCGCCATCACCACAGCAAGCTACAACAACACTACAGCAGCACCACAACACTTTGCTGAAAGCAACGCCACAACACCATAGCAAGCAGCACCACAAACACTATAGCAGCGCCGCAACACTACAGCAGCACCACAACACTACAGCAGCACCACAACACTACAGCAGCACCACAACACTACAGCAGCACCACAACACTACAGCAGCACCACAACACTACAGCAGCACCACAACACCACAGCAGCACCACAACACCAAAGCATCTCCACAGAACCATAGCATCACCACAACACCACAGTATCGCTACAACATCACAGTAGCACCACAACACCACAGCAGCAACATAACACTACATCAGCACCACAACACGTCAGCAGCGTCACAACACCACAGCAGCGTCACAACACCACAGCATCGCCACAACACCACAGTATCGCTACAAAATCACAGCAGCGCCACAATACCACAGCAGCAGCACAACACTACAGCAGTGCCACAACACCACAACACAACAGCAGCGTCATAACACCACAGCAGCGTCGCAACACCACAGCAGCATCACAAGAACCACAGCAGCAGCACCACTACAGCAGTGCCACAACACCACAACAGCGCCCACAACACAATAGCAGCGTCACAACACCACAGCAGCGCCACAACACCACAGCAGCACCACAACACCACAGCAGCACCACAACACCACAGCAGCGCCGCAACACTACAACAGCGCCACAACACTATAGCAGCACCACAAAACTACAACTATGCAACAACACCACAGCAGCACCACAACACTACAGCAGCGCCACGACGCCACACAGCACCACAGCACCACAGCAGCGCCACAACACCAGTCCAACAACACCAAAACACCACATCAGCGCCACAACACAACAGCATCACCAATAAAGCACAACAAACCATACACTATATCCAGCGTCACAACACCACGCAGCCCCACAACCCCACATGAGCGCCACAACACAACAACAACACCACAACACTACATCCAGCGCCACAAAACTACACAGCCCCACAGCACCACAGCACCGGCTCAATACCACAGCATCACCATAACAACCAAACCAGCACCATTATACTACGGCACTACGGCAGTGTTACAATACCCCAGCAGTACCACAAGACCACAGCAGCTCCAAAACACCACAGCAGCACTACAACACTACAGCTGCGCCACAACACCACAGCAGCACCACAACACGAGAGTAGTATCACAACACCACAGTAGCGCCACAACACCACAGCAGCACCACTGCAGCATAACATCACAACAGCACAACAACACTACAGCAGCACCACAACACCACAACAGCACCTTAACACTACAGCAGCGCTACGACACCACACAGCACCACAACACCACAGTAGAGCCACAACACCACTACAACAACACCACAACACCACAGCAGCGCCACAACACCACAGCAGCATCAATACATCACAACAACACCATAACACTACATCGGGCGCCACAACGCCACAACGCCACACAGCCCCACAACACCACAGCAGCGCCACAACAATACAGCATCACCACAACACCACAGCAGCGCCACAACACCACAGCAGCACCACACCACCACAGGAGAACCACAACCCCAAAGCAGCAGCACAACACCACAGCAGCACCACACCACCACAGGAGAACCACAACACGACAGCAGCGCCACAACACTACATCAGCACCACAACACTACAGGAGCACCACAACACCATAGCAGCAACACAACACCACAGCAATACCACAGCAGCATAGCAACACTACAGCAGCACCACAACATCACAACAGCACCACAACACTACAGCTGCGCCATAACACCAATGCTCCACCACAAGAGTACTGCAGCATCAATACACCACAGCAGCACAACAACACCACAGGAGCATCACAACAAACTCACAGCAGCATCACAACAATACAGCAGCACAACAACACTACAACAGCACCACAGCACCGCTGCAGCACCACAACGCCACAGTAGCACAACAATACTACAGCAACACCACAACACTGCAGCAGCACCACAACACTACAGCAGCACCACAACACCACAGCAGCACCACACACCACAGCAGCACAACAACACCACACCAGCACCACAACATTACAGCAGCACCACAACACCACAGCAGAACAACAACAGCACAACACTACAGAAGCTCCACAACACTGCAACAGCGCCACAACAGTACACCAGCGTCACAACACTACAGCAGTGCCACAACACTACGGCAACGCCACAACATCGCAGCAGTTCCACAACGCCACAATAACATCATAACACCACAGCAGTACCATAACACCACCACAGCACCACCACAGCACCACAAAACCACAGCAATATCACAACACTACAAAAACACCACGATACCTGAGAACAGATGTACACGTTACCGAGGACCAACGTCGACTACCCCAGTGGTACACAATCATCCCTCCCCTCCTTCCCGCTTACACACCCACACCGCTCACACATCCATGCCGCTCACTCAACCACACTCCTCACACACCCACACCGCTCACATACCCACACGCTCACTCAAACACACTGCTTACACACCCACACCGTTCACACACCCACACCGCTCATATCAGCCATTTAATTTTATGTCAAAGGAAAATACTGTACAAAGCCACAGTAATTTTCAAGAGGCTGGGGAGTAAGGGTTCGTGGCCCAACTGCTATCATCATTGACTGAGGAAGTAGAGTCAGGCGTGGTCTCAATAATAATTATATTATTATTAAACAAAAAAGGATTTTAATTTTCAACATTAACGTGAATTTGGTCACGTCATGGACAATGGACGAGTTGTCGGTTCTGAGTAAACACAAGAAATACACTCTGCCACGCTCGTAGAGTGATACAGTATATATAATTTATAATAAAAGTTTATAGTCCTGCAATAATAAGTAGAAATAAATTTATTTTTCTAGAAACAGGGCCGACATTTGTAATGCCGTCACCAGTTTCCCAGCAGACGACGCTCTCTATCAAACTCACAGTTGCAGTCGGAGGTAGTACAAAGGTGGCCCCTTTAGACCCCAAATGCCACGTTTAGGTAAGTTTTAAGGGTGTTTTTTTTTTATGGTCTAAGTCATGGGCATTTCGTAAGTGAAGAAATGTGCCGTGAGGAGCTACCTCAAACATAGGTTGGATGGATATATGAGCGATAGGGGTTGGGTGTAAATGGGACTTCCTAGTATGGGCCAAGAGGCCCACTGCAGTTTCCTCCATTCTTATGTTCTTGTGGACATAAAAAAACTCCCATGTTCACACCAGCTCAGCTGTCATGTATTCTTACTTGGTAGAATTTCTCTCCTATTTTCAATGCATTTACAGAGTATATCAGTACTAGACGGAGATACGAGTCAATTTAGAAGTAATGACATTGTCTGGACTTTGTTTTGAGAATGTTTGATGCTAGGTAAACATGACAACATAGTGCTGCTATTGTTTTGATGATTCACTAATGAACCACTGGAATATATCATCATTTATATTCATTAATGGGTTAAATTTTACTTTAACTACCATAAGTATTTGGATGCTTAGATTCGAGATAGGCTATATAGTGGAGCGGCATAGCTACAATTTTCTTAACAATTGTGCATTGAATGAATTTAATGATGAAAGCACCAAATTTGGCACAGCGATGGAGTAATGGTATATGAACATTTTCAGATATGGAACCACTCGATACTAGATTTGAGTGGCCGCTATAAATCAGGGGCGGATCCAGGAAAAAAATTCAGGTTTTGCCAAGTTACTGTCTTAGTCCTGCGAGACCGTCTAATACTGCGAAGCATAGGGAAATAATAGGCTATAGGAAGAAAGAAAAGGTCAAACAACAGTAATCACCTTGGACCAACCATTGTTTGCAATAGCCAAACAGATTCAGTGGAATTGGCCCGAAAATTACGGCGAAGAGAAATTTATTATGATTCTGGGCGGTCTCCACATTGAAATGGCGGCTCTGAGGATGGCAGGCAGTTGGTTGCAGGGTAGCAGGTGGGCAGAAACCCTGATGCAAGCCGATGTTGCCAGCCCAGGAACTGCGAACTCTTTCCTAAAGGCTGCTCACGTCACACGCACCAGGCGAGGCCATCAGATAACAGCAGCAACCCTGAACATCCTACAGCACAAGGCTTATGGCAAATGCACTGAAGATGCCCAAAGTGATGGTCATGAGCCCCTAGAGTTTGGTGTCTGGTGTCAGCAGAGGGCTGAATGTTGTCCCCAGTTTCAGTACTGGGCAACCACCCTCAACCTAGAGCTAAGTATCTTTATGTTTGTTAGATCACTCCGAGAATCAAACTTCTCGCTATACATGGATGCTCTGGCTGAACTGTGTCAGTGGTTCTTCGCCTTGGATCATACTCATTATTCTCGGTGGGTTCCAGTCCACCTGAAGGACATGACAGAGCTATCGGACAAGCATCCTGATGTGGCTGCAAAGTTTCAAGCCTGACATTTCACTACAAAAAAGACAACCCTCCGTTTTTCTGTAATGGCACTAGACCAGGCCCATGAGCAGATCAATGCCTGCATCAAAGGTGATGGTGGTGCAGTCGGTTTGACTGGAAACCCTAGTGCACTTCGACGGTGTATGATTGCAGGTCCAGAAGTAGCACGGGTCATTGGTGAATTTGAATCATCGCAGAAAGCTGAGCAAACCAAGGCTAACTTCCACCATCATGAGCAAACCAACACGACGCAGGGCAAGTTTCTTCAGGATGTGAATGCACTTTACACTTGTCATGGAAGAAATGGGAAACCCATTTGAAGAAGAAAGTACTGACCTAATGGTTCTTCATACAAAGGAAATCTTGTGTCCAGAAGCCGTGAAGAGTGTGAAAAATGTTGTCAAGCTTGGACGAGAACAATTCCATTCATATGTAAGAGAACGCCTTGAAGACAAGTCTAAGCTTATTGGTGACACTATTAAGCTCAACAAGCTAACACTATTCAGTTCTATGAAATCCAAGTCTCCAACTAGGAGTAAGCAGCAACTAGCCTTCGCAAAAGACGACTGTGGACTCTTCCCCAGGCTCTACATAGCCTGTCAAACAAGAGAGGGTGATTTGGAGGAATTCTTGAAGCATGAAAACCGGGCCTATCCACCAGCACTCTCCAATAATGGGAAACTCCGCTTCAGGAAGCAGGCCGACTTACTCACACCCCTTGAACAGCTTGCTGACAAGATCACTGACGCTCCACATGTCACCTCATTTATACTCGATTGACCTGCCGTTGTGGAAATGTTGAAGCCAGGAGGCAGTAGGACATTTCAAGAATACAGCACAGCTGTATTCATTCCCTATATTGAATCACAGCTCGAGCATCGATCTCGACTTGACCTGGTATGGGATTGCTACCTGAAATCTGGGAGCCTAAAAGCAACAGTAAGATGTAACCGTGGCAAGGGCATTCGAAGATGCGTCTCTGCCTCTGGTCCTCTACCTAGCAACTGGCAAAACTTTCTCCGCAACAGTGACAACAAAGAGGAACTCTTCAGTTTCCTGTCAGAACAGGTTATGCAGTTGGTTGTCAAAGAAAGTAAACAGCTGGTTGTCACAGACAAGAAACAAGTACTCACTGTTCCACCATGGAACGACACTGCCAACTTGGCACCATGCAACCACGAAGAGGCCGAAACTAGGATGATGGTTCATGCAGCTGATGCCTTGGAATGTGGTCATCGGCGGATACTCATTCGTACCGTCGATACAGATGTTGTCATCCTTGCAGTTGCTCTAGCGAATGAACGGAGTGAGGTACTAGATGACCTATGGCTTATTTTTGGCACAGGAAAGAATCGACGTTACATAGCAGCACATCAAATTGCAAAGGCCCTGGGACCTGAGAAGTCGAGAGCTCTTCCAGTGTTTCACGCAATAACAGGCTGCGACACGGTATCTGCCTTTGCAGGCCATAGCAAAAATGCAGCCTGGGCCATATGGAATGCATTTCCGGAAGTGACAACCGCCTTCCTCAGTCTGGCTTCCACCCCAAGTGAGCTGCCTGATGGTGTCCTGTCGACACTGGAGAGATTCATCTTGCTGCTCTATGACCGTACGAGCACATGCTGTGACGTGAACGTGCTGAGAAAGAAACTGTTTTCAAGAAAATCAAGATCACTGGAGGATCTCCCACCAAAACGAGCAGCTCTGGAGCAGCACATAAAGAGAGCTGCTTATCAGGCTGGACATATCTGGGGACAGGCTGCAATAGCGTTTGTCATTCTGTCATCACCATGTGACTGGGGTTGGATGAAGTCAGGTGATGAGCTGGAACCACTCTGGACCACACTCTCTGAAGCGTCAAAGTCATCCCACGAGCTCATCTCTTGCGGTTGCAGAAAACACTGCGATGGCAAGTGTAGGTGCAAAAAAGCTGCACTTAAATGCACTGGACTTTGTGCATGTGAAGGTGGCTGTTAAGGCCAAATATCTACAGAGATTCGTACTCAATAGCCGAATGTTCAGATTTTTTTTTGTTAAGTTATGGGAGTTCGGAAAATTTGTATGTTAATTTTCCAGTGTCTTTTTTGTTGTAATAAACTTCGAAAACTATCACAAATGATTTTCGTAACCAGGATTATGTATATTGATGCATTGGAATGAAATATGCCACAGTAAAAACAGAAATACATAGTTTAGTGTATCCTGAACAGCGGCCATCATGAAATTCAATATGGCGCCCACAGAGGTTGAGTTTCTAGTGGTTCCATATCTAAAAATATTCACCATGTATTACTCTATATCTGTGCCAAAGTTAATGCTTTCATCATAAAATGCACAATTGTTTGGCTATGCCGCTGTACTAATATTGAGTAAATTTTAAGTTTTGGTCATCCCTGTACTTAGACAGGCAGACTATGTTTGTTTTATTCTTATGGTTTGCGATGTGTTATGAACGATGTAGACCTTTATTTTTATCGGAAATCACTTGTTTTGAGTTACTACCCCCCCCCTCCCTTACCGGTGTATGTTAAGCTAACCTTATAACTCATCATACCCTAACCTAACATAACCTATGACCTATATTTTCTTATGCGATCGAAAAATGGTTTGCGACAGAAATCCCGTAGAGATAATTTGTCTTATTGTTTAAAGCACTTAAACCTATAGATAGAATCTTAAGGTTCCCCAGATGACTAAACCAAAATAATACCAATATTGTTTGGAATGTATATTCAATATTTGTAGTAGGGGCAGCTAATATCCATTGAATTAGTTAATGTGCTTAGTAATTTTTATATATTCACTATAGCATTACTGTGTTGCACAGTAAAGGACAATTAATTATCTAATAATATTTATTTACAGAGCCGATCAGCCGAGAAGGTTGGACAACTACTTCCAGGGTTAATCAAGACGGATGAAAGAAATTTACCAAA